TCATAACTAGCACATATCAATGACTTTCCCTCCATTATAAGAGCAAAAGTGGGGATGTTTGCTGATAATTATTCCATGCTCAGCACAATTTACAACTCCTCAAATACTGAAAACATTTGTGACAACCACAGAACCATGTGGACAAAATTCAGGCTTTAGCTGAAAACTGATGGCACAACATATGTTAAACAATGCCATTCATCTATGATTAGGGAAAGTAATCACCTTTCCTGGACATTCAATAGCATTACCATCACCTATCACTGCTATCAACATCCTAGGGATTGACCAGAAACTGAACTGGTCCAGCCACATAAATATTTGTGGATATAAAGTAGTCCACATTCTACACATTATGCACCTTGTACCAATTGGCATTTAGGAAAAAGAGAGGTGATCATATTGAAAAATGTAAGATCCTGTTGGGAATTGACAAGGCAAATGCTGAGAGGCTTGATCCAAGAGACAGTTTAAAAATAAGGGGTCTCTCACTTAAGATGAAGGTAAGATTTTCTTTCTCTCAGAATGTTGTTAATCTGTGGAATTCTCTTTCCCAGAGAGCAGTGGAGGCTGAGTCATTATATGTTTTCAAAGCCAAGTTAGATAGATTCATGACTAACAAAGGAGTGAAAGGGTACTGGGGGTAGACAAGAAAGTGGAGTTGGGGCCACAATCAGATGGGCCATGATTCGATCAAGTAAAGGAGATGGTACGATGGGCCAAATACACCTGCTCCTAATGTGTATGTTTATTACTTATGAATAACTTACCTTCTGGCTTTTCAAAGTCTGTCCACCATCTACAAGACAAAAGTCAGGAGTATAGTGGAACACTCTGATTGAGTGCAGTTCCAACAACACTCAAGAAGCTAGAAATCATCTTGCTATCTTGTTCCCACAGGGACAATTCCAGCCATTGTCACCAAGAAGTCCCTATTACAAGCCACTCATCATCCTCTGAACTATTTCGCCATTCCTTCACTGGATCAAATCCTCAACAACACTGTAGGTCATGGACTGCAGTGGTTCATGAAGGCAACCTATCACCGCTTTCTTGAAAGCAATTAGATATAGTGACAAATGCTGGCCAAGTCAGTGGAGCCTACATCCCATGAAGAAACACATAAGTGTTTACTTGTGCTTCTTTCAACTCAGTTTAGTGTACTCACTGCTTGCAGTACAGTCTCCTTTACAGTGACAAGACCAAACACAGACTGGGTGACTGCTTCGATCTGTCACAAAAACAGAAATTGCTGGAAAGGCTCAGCAGGTCTGGCAGCATCTGTGAAGAGAAATCTGAGGAAGGGTCACTGAGCTTGAAACTTTAAACTCTGATTTCTCTCCACAGATCCTCCCAGACCTGCTGAGCCTTTCTAGCAATTTTTGTTCTTGTTTCTGATTTCCAGCATCCACAGTTCTTTCAGTTTTTACCTCAGATCTGTCCACAGGAATGACCCTGACCTTCTAGTTGATTGCAATTTCAATAAACCACCTTGCTCTCATGCTAAAATTTCTGTCCTGAGTCTGCTACAGAGTTCCAGCAAAGCACAACACAAGCTGGAGGAACAGCATCTCATTTTCTGCTTAGGTATTTTACGGCCTCTAGAACTCAGAGCTCTAGAAGGGTCACTAGACCCAAAGCAGTAACTCTGATTTCTTTCCAAATGTGCTGCCAGAACAGCTGAGAGTTTTCCAGGAATTTCTGTTTATGTTTTTGATATCCAGCATCCACAGTCCTTTCAGTTTTTTTCCTTTAGAACTCAATATTGAGTTCCACAACTTCAGAGTATGACCACTGCCGCCCATTTTTCTGATATCCCCCACCCTCCCCAGGCATGTCTTTTTCCTATTTGGTTAATTTTGCTCTCCACAAAGCAAGCCCATTTTCTCCATTTCACACCTAACATCTACACCTATTTTACATGTGTATCACTCCTTTACCACCATTGTCATTGCCTTCGTTTTTGCTACGAGCACCCTCACCATCTGTTCCACTCCCTACTTCTTCCCCTCTGGCAACAGCATAAAAAACACAATTTTATAGCTCCAAATAAGAGCCATAGAATCCTACAGTGTGGAAGCAGGCCATTCAGCCCATCAAGCCCACATCAACCCTCCAAAGACCATCCCAACCAGACCCACATCCCTAATATCCTGAATTTCCCATGGCTGATCCACCTAACCTGCACATCTTTAGGCTGTGGGAGGAAATCCACACAGACACAGGGAGAATGTGCAAACTCCACACCGACAGACACCCAAGGCTGGAATCGAACCTGGGTCCCTGGTGCTGTGAGGCAGCAGTGCTAAATACTGAGCCACTATGTTGCTCAAGTCATACTGGACTCGACACATTAACTCTGTTTCTCTTTCTAAAGATGCTTCCAGACATGCTGAAGATCTCCAGGACTTTCTATTTTATTTCTCCAGCAATTCCTGTTTTTATTTCAAATAAGACCCTAGTTTGCAATAGTTAGATTTTAGCTGGGCGAGGGTATTTATTAAGGAATACAGAACTGAGGTGGCAGATGCAATTAAGAAACACATTACAATACAAGATAGACTGAGAGGGAGAGTAGACTTGAGGGACTAAATTGCGTCCTCCTGTTTTGGTGTTCCTATATGACCAGTCTATACCAGTGAAGCAACATCAAAAGAAAAGATTGTTCTGTAGCTCTTAAAGGGTTAATGCACTATCCCCTTTTCACATCACTAGCACTCTGAGGATGAGCCAGGATGATATTCAGTGGGTGGATCTGCTTCATTGTAAGAGCAAAGGGTTACTCTTGTTTGCTTGTAAGATATGTGTGGGTCTGACAAATGAAACCACATGATGTTTAATCCCACTCCAAGATATTTCTGCTGAAAACTGGCCAATCTCAAAAATTCTTTCTTTAGGCAGACGGAAGTGCTCTCTCAGTGAGTCACGTTCTGGCTGAGGTGGGGGAGGGGAAGGAATGGAAATCAACAGGTAAAAAATCTCAAGAGAAACAGCACTGTGCATTAGAACACTGCCTCATCATGTCTAGATTCCCAACCTAGTAAGACTGTCCTTAAATTGCCAGGCACGATAGGTTAATCTGGTGTGAGCTTGTTGTATGAGCAATACCCACCACAAAAATTCACAGTGGCGTTTTACAAATTCCTTCTTTAAAAAATCTGTCTTCATTGAACAGTTTCAATTTTTTCAATAATTGAGGTATTGGCAATGTGGTGCAGAAGGTAATCAAGGTATTGGAAATGTCGTACAAAATGCACCACAAACAGATTGGAAGAGCAGCGAGAAACACTTAAAGCAATGATTAATAGAGCCCAGAATGAACATTCCCCACTGAAAGGCAAAGACAAAATAATCAGTAATGGAACACCACGAATAAATGAAGGGTTAAGAGCAATACTGAAACTAAAGAACAATGCATGCACTAAGAACATAAACAAAAAAGAAATACAACCGGGAATACATTAAGGAGGTAAACATCCATAATCCACAAAGGACCCACAGGAATCTCACTACATTGCAGAGAGACTCTGGTTAAATAACAAGAGGGGCACCACTCCACAATAGTTCCACTCCACTCCAACAAGGTTCTGTGAAGGTTCACAACTGATCCAGGGCCTGAACCTACCACTGGTGTTAATTTACTTCATACTGTAGCCGATTAGCTAACTGCACTAAGGTTAGGTCAATGCTTCCAAAACCTTTTCCTAACTATGACTCCATATCAAAGCATAAACACTGTCGCAACCCCTGCTGTGACCTTCGAGAGGGCCGTGAGAGCTGGGGCCTTTCAGAGAGAGAGCACATTCTTTGACCTGGTTGGAACTACATAGCGGCCACTGCTGTCTCAGAGCTTGGGAGCCCAAAATTTCACCTTGTGACCACACTTGGGGTTTGAAACCCCACTTTGGGACGCCTTAGGTTAGGGTACAAAGAAAAAACAAAAATAACAAACAAAGCAAACAGAACTTAAATATGACATATATATAACATATCTATGAACTTACAGAGGGTTTGTATTCTGCAGGCACGTCAATGTCATGGCAAAAAAGTTATGATAGAGATAGATAAATGTTGCACACAATAAACTTGCCAACAGCATAATTGGATTCTTTTTTAATTGGTTTGCCTTGGCATTTACCAGGGAGGCATGACATCAATGACAAAATCAAAAAAGGTGTAAAGATATTTAAGATAGAAAAGGGAGAGATGATTAACATCAGGGGGTAAAATCCCAGGCTGAGATGGATTGCATCTGCACAGACTAAAACAAGCTTGGAAAATACAGCATAACGACTAAAAATTCATTAGAAAAGAGCTAAGTGTGAAAGTACCAGCAGATTGGGGCTCATGTGATTGCTATATTTTGAAAAAAGAGATGGAACTGGAACAAGTCGAGGGGCTTATAAACCAGTTAGTTTAAAATTGGTAATCAGAAAGATAATGGAATCTCAACTTAAAAATGTAGTAGAAATACATTTCAAATGTAATAAATAAGTCAACACAGAATTATAAAGGGCAAGTTATGCTTGTCTTGCCTTATTAAATTTTTGAGGTAGTAACAGAAAGGGTGGATAAAGAGGAATAATATACTGTAAAATTCACACCATCTAGCACCCCACAAACCAGAATTATCCATCAACCAGCATCTTGAAACCTCACACCCACCCGGCCCTAACACCAAAACTGCATATTTCAACAACTAGAAGATGGTATCTGGCACCCAGCACTACTGGATAACTTCCAAAGCTGTTCTGATGCAAACAGCATCCTGAGCACTGAGAGGAAAACCTTAAGACAGAAGGATAGAGTTGCTGGGAAGGACCTGTTTGGAGCTCAAGGGTCTGTTTAAGATGCTAGTTGAAGTCAAGACAACTACCACAAATTGATTTTGGTCATTGTATTCACAACCCATCATGGAAAAATACTTTGACCACTTATTGGGAGCGATGGTCATGATGGAATGCAAGGAAACAGCATATTTTGCATATCTCTTCACTAACCTGCATTTTTGATTTCATGGTACAAGCCAGTCCGGGTGATTGCTGGCGAACACAAATTTCAGTGTGTTTGGAATTCAAATGCCTTTGATAAGGTACTGCATAATAAACATATGACTAAGGTCAGAACATGTGGAGACAGGGGACAAGTAGCAGAACAAATAGAAATCTGGCTACAACCCAGAAAGCAGAATTGGAGCTAAAGACTGGCAGAAGGTAGAAAGTGGTGGCTGTTCCATGTGAGTAAATTTGTCTGCCCAGAGCTGGCAGAGCTCATAGCACCACTGCTGGATTGGTAACAGTTACACAACACTACACTAATTTTCTGAGCTCAATCATGTAGTTATGGAGACACAGGAGAAGCAAGTTAACAATAGGACAATATGCTCATCACCTGGAGTTAGCAGTGATATTGGTGCAAGATTGGCCATCCTAACAGGGACATTAGGCAGAATTTTTCCATGTATTTTTTAACTGTTTGGGTGAGTTTATTAGATAGTGACTAACACACCACCCACAATGTTAAGGTAACAGTTACCCGATCGTTAAGAGCTGACAGGTGAGTGAGGGTGAGTATCTCGTCCTATCACAGGTCTCAACACCCAAGTCGCTGGAGGTTGCTGGCCAATCAGAGATCAGTAGCTACTGAGTCCTAAAGTAGGTCAAGGTCTATTCCTCAGTGGATCCAGTGGTGAGTAAATAAAACTTTTTTCTTTCTTCTTACGGATGGAATTTGAAGGGAGTGGGGTCGGACAGAGACAAAGGCTATGGTGACTTTCAGACCTTGACCCCTTGCCTGCCATCCTTGCCTCTGGGTGGTCCCAGACTGGAGCAACTGGAGTCCCCTACCACCCTCCAAACCTGACTATAGACTCCCTTAGGAAACTAGCCAACTTTCTCACCTGCAGTAAGGCAGGTTATTGAAGAGGTGGTGAGTTGAGGCTCCTTATGTAGCCATTAATTGACCAAATAATTGGTGAGGAGGTGAAAAATTCTTTCACGGATATTTTGGCTCAGAACTTTAATTGCTACGATGGTGAGAAGGGGTGTATTTCTCTGCAGAGCCAATCAGCTCACCCAATTAGTTTCCCAGCTTGCCACCTCTCAATACCCTGCCCCTGTGAGAACAGGAGACAAACAAAGGGTTAACTGGGTTTAAACTTCACCACCACCAATTCCCCCTTCAGTACCCTCAGGTTCAAAACACTCCAAAGATGTTGCAATGGCATGAGGAACAGAGAGATCATCAGAGCAACTGTGAAAGGCAGAAAAGATCAGAGGCTGAGGGCACAGGCATGAGAGGGCAAGAGAGAACATTTGGAGCAAACAGTGAGACAGAGAAAAGGGAGTTGGAGAGAAAAACAGAGAGAAGGAGAAGGATTGAGCAAAAGTATAAGGGAAAGAGAGACAGCGCGAGAAAGAGAGGTGTGCGAGAGTGATAATCTGAAAGAGTGACAGAGGAGAAACACACTCTGTATAAACATTCAGCAGACAAAGCGAGGACGAAGCCGAAATCCTTCAATTTACTTCTGCAGGATCGAAGTAAATGCTTACTCACTGGCACCAATATACAGAACAGGAAAACACTGCCATTAACAAAATCACCACGATTCCTGCCAAACCCAGACTTTTGATAAAGTTAAAACTGAAAATACAATTCTCTCACTTTCTGAACAACTTTTTGAAATGTCTGCACTCACTCACCATCATGGGAGACTGGGAGCAGGACAGAGTACAGTCTTCGCTCAGCTGCTATCTCCTCCACCTCTTGTACACAGCTCAGTTACATGTTTCCTTCTTCCTAGGCCCAGCAGCCAGACCCACAAAGAATTTCCTTTGGCTCCGAGATAGTATTCCTCATTCCAGATTTCCAAAACAGCAAGACAGCAGCCTCACTGTGCAAATTTGCCCCACCCCCTTTTATCAGTGGGATAGAGTTCAGAGTTCACATTTGTCTCGGGTGTACACCTCCTCAACCCAGAGAGAGAGAGAGAGGGGCAGGGCATACTGTCAGGCACAGGCTGCTCCTTTTTGAAACACGGAAGCTGCAGTTCTCTCCTCCCACCTTCTCATCCTCCTCCCTCTCGCTCTCCTTCTCCACTTACTTATCCTCCTCGTTTTTATTCACCCCTCTCTCTCACTCTCCCTCAGTCTCACCATCTTTCTCCTGCTCTCCCTCTCATTTGCCCTCATTTTGCACACCCGCCCTCAAGTTCTGGCACTTTCAGTCACTTGCCCACCTTCTCACTCTACCACCTCACTCTCCCTCTCTTCAGCCCTCCCTCAATCCAACCCAACCACCTCCCTTTCACCCACCCTCCCTAAAACTCTTGCCCTCTCTCGATCACCTTTTTAGTTGCCCTTCCTCATGTTTTCCAAACCATCTTGCCCTCTCTCTCTCCCCAGTCTCTCTAATTCCCAATTCCTCTGTCTCTTTCACACTTTCCCTCCTTATCCTCCTCACTGTCATTTATTTTCCCTCTTCCATTCACCCTTGTTCTCCCCACCTCTCTCCCTCTGCATTATGCCCCTTGGCCAATCTTTCGCTGATTCCCCACCCCCATACAATCTGTCCTTCCCCCAAACACACAGTACTGTAGACTCATAAGGAAATAAAACATTATATTTACATCTTAAGCAAATACAGTAAGTGAGAGCTACATGGTGCCATTGTTTAGTGTGTACACAGACTGCTCTGTTCATAGTTGGAAGTGCAACCTGAAGGTATTAACCTCAAAAACCATCCCTAGCAAATTGGGTGTCATATTTTCATGGACAGTTTGCTATTTCCACACAAACCACCCCCACACCATCACCTCGCCGCAGTAGGGTTGAATTGTGCTTGGAAAATGTTATCAGCCTTAAAACACGGTGGGCAAAAGCTGCATTGAAGTGATAACATGCATTGGTTTAGCATTTCCAAAGTACCTCCATATTTCACATCAGCAAACAAAATATCAAACAAAATTGGATGCCAAGCCATGGAAGGAGACTTTAGGAAATTTGACTGCAAGCTTGCTCCAAGAGGGAGGTTCGAGGAGCAGCTTAAAGAAGGAAAGACAGGTTGAAACATTGAGGGACGAAAATCAACAGTTGAAGGCTTGAGAGATAGTAGGAACTGCAGATGCTGGAGAATCTGAGATAACAAGGTGTAGAGCTGGATGAACACAGCAGGCCAAGCAGCATCAGAGGAGCAGGAAGGCTGACGTTTCAGGCCTAGACCCTTCTTCAGAAAATGGCTTGAAGGCTTGGGCAGCTAAAAGCACGGCTGCCATCAGTGCAGTGAGTTGAGAGGCCAGAAATGGGAAGGTTGTGGAGCTGATAATCTGCAGAAGCAGAGAGGGGAGAAATCGTGCAGTGATTTGAAAATAGTAATGACAAATCAAAAGCAGTTTAGCAAGTTACATGAATGATGGACGAACAACAGAATTGTTACATGACAGAAAGATGTCCTTCAGACCATCTTGTCCATGCTGGCTCTCTGCAACAGTAATTCAGCTGTTCCCATTCCCTAGCCTTTATCCTGTAGCCCCACAAATGATTTTCTCTTCAGGTATTTATTTGATCCTCTTTTGAAAGCTATGACAAATCTGCCTCTAGCACCTAATCAAGCAGTATGTTACAGATTCTAACACTCACTGGTCAAAAATAACTTTCCTCAGGTCGTTGTCAGTTCTTTTGTCAATCACCTTAAACTGGCGCCCTTTGGTTCTGTACTCTTCTGCCAATGGGAACAGTTTTTCCTGATTTACTCAGAGTAAACCCCTCTTGGTTTTGAACACCATAATCAAATCTCATCACAACCTTCTCTTCTTTAAAGATAACAGCCCCAGCTTCTCTGGTCAATCCATGTCACTGATGTCCCTCATCCCTGTTTGTTGTGAATCTTTTCTGCATCCTCTTGAAATTCTTCACATTCTTCTTAAAACCCGTATGGGATGCAGTTCTCCAGCTCTGGCTGAACCAGCATTATTTAAATGTTCATTGTCATTGCCTTGCCCTTGTACTCTAGTACTCTCTTTATAAAGCCCAGGATTGTGATTGCCTATTTAACCACTTTATAAACCTGCCCTGCCATCTTTAATGATTTACGAGGAGTAGTTAGCTCAGTTTGTGAGATGGCTGCTGAGTGATGTCAACAGCGCAGATTCAATTCCTGTACCACCTGAGGTTACCATGAAGGCCCGCTCTTCCCAACCTCAACTTTCAACTGAGACTTAGAGACCCTTAAGTTCAACTCACCACCAGTTGTCTCCCTCTACTGAGGGAGTAACTGATGGTGTTCTGGGATTATGGCCTCTGCTCCTGCACTCTTTTAGAAATGTATCCTCCAGTCATTTTTCCAACCAAAATGAATCATATCATGTTTCCCCCCATTAAAACTCATCTACCACACTTATTTCACCAGCCAACTGCTGTCCTCTTGAAGCCTGCCACTATTCTCTGCACAGTTCAAAACCCTTCCAACTATTACCCACCAATTTAAAATTGTGCCCAATATCCTGAAGTCTACACTACTAATATTGACCAAGAAAAATAGTGGACCTAATTTCAACCTGGGGAAACATCACTGTATACATTCCTCCAAAAAAAAAATGACAGCATAAGATTTAGGAACAGAAGAAGCCCATTCATCCCATTAAGTCTGCTCCACCATTGAACGAGGTCTTGACTGGTCTGATAATCCTCAACTCCACTCTCCTGCCTTTGCTCCATCATTACAATACACTAATACAATATACATCAAACATACAACTTACATTCTAAAATTCAGAATTAAGATGAGGCACAGATGGATAACCAACAAACTATGATCAAGCCCCCCGACAGAGAACATCAAATAGCACAATCAATCGAGACTGATCTCAAAAGCAAGCCCCCCTCACCAATGTTAGTGACACCAGGTCACCAAATTCAAATTCATCAAATTTTACAAGGGTTTCCAATTCTTTTGTTTTAAAGACGTAGTTTTGGAATTCCCTCAAAAGCTATTCTGTCATGGACTGCCTCTACAACTTCTCGTGTTTGGTGGTTCACCATTTCCTGGGCCTATGCTCCCTTGAATTCTGAAAACTGCATTCCAGCACTTATAGATGTAATTTCAGCTTCTCACACACAGCTAACTTCACCAAACCAGTACTGCCCTGGTTTTTTTTTTTTGGTGAGCTCTAATCTTGCTCAGCTGCATCAACTGGCTCCTAGGACTTCCCTACTTCCTAACTGCACACAGCTACCTCAACTGTTCTTAGGAATCCTCCCTCAGCCCCAAGTGCACAGAACCAGTGGCCTACTTGGCAGCTTAGCTAAACAGCAGCACTTTCTGCATAGAGCCTGCTTCTGGCTCTCTCTCCACTGCCTGTAACCCTTGAACAGTCCTTCAGTGATCCTTGAACAGTTTTGAGTGACCTATTGAAAATCTTGCAACAAGCACTGCCCTCAGTGGTAGATAGGATTGAATTTAGCCATCACCAGAACTGAAAAGTAACAACCCTTTGGAACTGTCTGATCTCTGAATGTTACAGTGTTCAGATCTTGCCAGCTCACACAGTACAAATTCCATACAAGGAAAAGAGGATTTCATCGCAAATATAAAGCCAGTGTATCTAAACTCTTGTATGTAATCTCTCCGACTGATTTAATTGCAAGTCTATAATCTCCCCAGTGGATCCAAACACTGCTCTATAATTTCCTCAATAGCTTCAGAAGGATGTGGGACCAAGCTTAAAGGTGTGTGAGCAACTGAAGTTTGGATTGCATGAACGAATAATCCATAACTATGGCCATGGCCTCAATGCTGACTGATGATCTTGATGTCCAAACATGGGACAATCAGTTGTTTCAGGACATTTTGCATGTGAGAAATCAAAGGCGGCTAGCATCTTCCTGTAAGGGAGGGGTTAAAAACAGGTATGAATGAGGTTATGGCACCATCCTCCTCTGTAAATAACAAAGCAGTAAGAAAACCTGATAGAATGTGCACTGCGCAGCTCCACTGGCCTCATTTCCTTCCCAAATTTGTTGAATATTTCCTATTCAAAAAACAGAGGAAGTACTGACAAGCCAAACTTTCAGAAAAATGGAGCACCACAATGGAGCAAATACTCCTCCAAGTCATACATTTACACTCCAAAGACTGTAGCAATTCATAGAGGCAGCTCACCATGACCTCCTCAAGAGCATTTAGGGATGAGCTAAAGAAGACAAGTCATCTCGCACTGCAAACAATTTAATGATTGCTGGCACTGTCACAATTATTTGCTTGATATTCCAGATTTGTTTTATTGAATTACTGTGGTGGGATTTGAACTGGTGTCCTCAGAGCATTAGCCTGGGGCTCAGGATTACCAATCCACTGACAACACCCACATTCTAAACCAGGCTGCATGGAATCATGTGCTCTATATTAAGATCTTTTACCCTGCAGTCATTAAAGGGACAGGCCTCTCAAATAACTTTTTCCAAATTCATTCATTCCTCAACTATATATTCCAAAGGGGAGCAAACTCCAGGATTATCTTGGATCAGGGAAAATAAAAAGGTGGAATGACAGTTATTAAAGATACTGTTAAAGGAATTTTTTCTTGATTGCTCCTGGTCAAATAATCACTGGATTTTTTTTTAACGCACTTGTGGGACATGGGCGTCACTGGCTGGCCGGCATTTATTGCCCATCCCGAGTTGCCCTTGAGAAGGTGGTGATGAGCTGCCTTCTTGAACCCCTGTAGTCCATGTGCTGCAGGCAGACCCTAAATGCTGCTAAGGAGGGAATTCCAGGGTTTTGACCTGAGATAGTGAATAAACGACGATGTATTTCCAAGTCAGGATGGTGAGTGGCTTGGAGGGGAACTTGCAGGTGGTGGTGTTCCCATGTATCTGCTGTTTCTGTCACTGTAGGTGGAAGTGTTGTGGGTTTAGAAGGAGCTGTATATGTGACTCAGATTCAGCAGATGATTCATTTTTTATATGAACAAATTGGCAGATATCCATATCATCACCATCATACTTGATA